ATATTCTGAAATGTTTTGAGTCTTGACCGATATTCACGATCACATTTGACACTCACATACCACTTGCACAGACCCGCACAGGGATACACGTGCTACGTGCCCATGCAAAATCATGCATGTGCATGCATATGTACTATACACATGCATTTACACGATCTACAAGTGCATAGTGCATGTGCACATATGTATGCACCTTTCCCTTCCCTCCCTATCAAAAACATTACCACACATAGGGAAGGCACAAACATTATAGTCATTCATGTCATTCTGATTAAAGGTGGTTCTCATTGGTTCTCCCTGATTGGGCAATTGCATGCAATTGCTGTCCCTGTAGATGGCTCTGCGATTTGATTCCTTCGCTGTACGCAGTGCTAAAGAATGCAGGAGCTCAGTGAGACTGTTTTTGGCCACTTCTCTCTGTCTCGATTGCTGGAAGATCCCAGGAGTGGGACACATTGAGACACGCATTCTAGATATTTTTTGATTTGCGCTTGTACCACTTGAACCAAGAAGTGGGACAAAAAGGATAGCGGATAGCAAAATAAAAATTGACGGAATTTATAGTTCTTGTCATTTGTCATCCCATGCTTAATTAACAGCGGGGCTCTGGTCCTGATATATAACACATTTTGGACCAAAACCGGTGCAAATCGATGAGTGCATTGTTGTGGGCTTGTGTGGCAACAACTTGTTCCCAGTGCGGTTTTTGGGTTGGTCAAGCAGGTGATGTCATTTGGGTGCTTAGTTTTGATTCATGGGCACAGCAGATGTGCAGTTAGCAGTTGCTTGGACTTTGGGACTGTGTAATGTTTTGAATCATATGCATTGATGGCTTCAAAGCATTGATGTACAGGATCAGTGAGTACATTGAGAGGAGTGGCGATCCCATCACGAGGCGTCTGCTTTGCAAACATCACAAACCGTGAAAGTTTGTGGTTTGATGATGTTTGATCAGAAATAGGTGGCATTATGTGGCATTATTGATTTATATTGATTTTTTGCATATTTTTTGCATGCGCTGCTGATCCTTTTGTGGTTCGATTCGGTCGGGATCATCCTGGAGGCCGTGCATCACTATGCGTCGCTGCCTTGAACGATACTTCGATCATCTTCGATCACTTCGCATTTCCGATATTTTTCGATTGAGTCCGAATTAAGCAAACGTTTTGCATTTGGTGAACTTGAGTTTAATCATGTTATTGCGCGGCACAACACATTTGTCAGAGAAGCTCTTATTCAACATGAACACCAAAAGGTTTGATATTTGTGCCCAGCATATGGGGAGTGTTGCGTTTGTTTGTTCACTTCCTTTTGTGATGAGGACTTTCTCAAGAACATGTCAAGTGATTAGCTGGTACTGTTCATCATTCAGGCAGATCGGCCAAATGGGGCGATGAAGGCAAAGGAAAATCCAGTGGCAGTCACTTGCTCAGGGACTTTTGCAGCTGTTTCTCGATTCCCGATGTTTTTCTACTTTCCGCTTTTAAACTGTTTTGAAACATAGTGCTCGACGAGTGCTCGATTTAGCAAAGGTTTGACAACGTTTTGGAATCGAGGCGAGATGGACGATCCCTGGGCAGATCCAGCCAAGGCTGCGAGTCAGACTGGTTTGGTTGTTCTTTGATGTTCTTTGGGGGTATGTTCTGGTGAGAGCCTCAGTCATATTTTCCATGACAAAAGGAACAGTTGGACACAACTCAATTGGAACATCTATATATTGAATCAACTTGGAATGAACTTGGAATCGGTGCAAGGAAAAGTGAATGGTATTGAGTGGTAAGATTCGTCAGGCTGCAGGCAGCAGCACATATCCCAGCACCATTTAGCTCGTGCATGCTTGTACTAAAAGCACTGGAGTATCATAATGAACAGGCCAGCTGTCCTTTGATGAAATGATAATTATTTTCAACTGAAGTAATAGTCTGAATGCAAGAACCTGTAAGCACATGTAAGCACACGACGAATGAGTGGAGCATGGGTGGAGCATGGGTGGAGCATGGTGGAGCATGGAGTCCAGTGCAAAACAGCCTTGCTCTGAGCACTTGGCAGGACCCTTGGGCTTCCAAAGGAAAGGGGAAAGAGACTTCCAAGGGTATCCGAGCAGCACTTGCGATTGAGCTGTCATTAATATTGCTCCTGGTCTTAGCATCACATGGTACAGAAGCAATACACGTAACAATCTATTCGAAAAATCCTCAAGATGTAGGGAGATCTAAATTGTGCAATCGGCAAAAGGGTCCTCAAAGCTCCAAGACGTCTTGAGATTGATGTAAGCTGCTGCAGAAACTCGTCCGGAGCCACCGCGCTTCAGGAAAAATACTGGTAAAAGGAACTCCCCAAAAAGGATTGGGAAAAGGCTGGGCCTGCGTGCAAACTTCACCCACACAGCGCAGGGGAATGCTGAATGCCTGCGGAACTGAAAATCTAACCATTGGGAGCCTCGGGAGCCACATGTTACTTTTTTTGGGATATATATATATATATATATATACATATTTAC